TTAATTTCTTTAGGATTTATAACGTATTTTTTAGGCAACACACTTAAACAATGGACCCTTCCACCGCACTTCCTTTTGACATGTTTTACTTTCTTATTTTGCCCTCTCTCTCTCTTTTTTTGTTTTGTTCCTGCTAGGAAATAAATTGAATTCTTTCTTAGAATTGACATTCAAAACACAAATCGTTTCGTGTCAAAGCCATAGAAATTTTTGAGGGTCCTCCTAGTAGCCAAAGTATATTTGGTGGTCAACGGCTTTGTGAATATGAATTTCCAATATTTGTTTGTTGTTGTTGAACTGATGAAATCAAATCTTATTTTTTATATAGCTTTTTCTTTTATTGCTATGGCATTTGTATTAAAAACGTCGTAATCTCCATACTGTATTTTTTTGGTCACTCTGAGAACCTTTGCGGAATTTTATATGAATTTGTATTATTAAGTTTTAAGTATTATTTCTAATATGTAATGGATTATAGATATTTACGATAAATCTTATGAAAAAATGGTTGTGCAAAAAAATAAAAAACATTTGGAAAATTCGAAGTCATATAACTGTAGAACTTTAAGATTTTTTCTATAAGAAAAACTGATTTTAAGAATATAAATAAAAGCATATTCCCCTCATACCTCTTAGAAAAAATAATCTCAAATTCTTCATATCAGAGCCTGAAGACAATGACACTATGAAAAAAAATAATAATTGAAAATATTCAGGCCGAATGTTATTAAAAATTATTTTTGAAAATTTCCTGTTATGTCTCTTTTTACATTAAGTAACTATTCTTGAGAAATCCATTATGGCTCGTTGATATATATTATCTTACAGTCGTCGAATCTGGAGCTGAAACGGCGTCGGTATGTGATTTTAAAAATAATTTTTGGACTGGCTTGTACTTCGAAAGACCCCATACAAAATAAAATTGTATGTCGATTTAGCCATCACCATAGAGATCGCAAAATATTTACCATGGCCCATGTTTTGACATAGTCCCCATATGGAGGCTTCGACACATTTTCGACAGTTTCAAGGTTGTATCTGCATTTTCCCAACTAAGTGACTAAAATTTGGCATTCTCGGTTTTTGGGTGTGCAAATCATTGATATAGGTCCACCTTTTTCCATATCTACACTTTAAATGCACCCGCCTATTTTCGGTATTCTGAAGTTTTTAGCCACATTTCAGCAATAAAGTGGTTGGAATTGTCCATTTTGAGTTCATAAAGGGTGAAAGAAATCTCAGACTTTTTTTAGGAAATACAAAGTTTTTTACCCAGATATCTGAAATACATGTCCCGACAGATTTACGATTTTTTTTTTCATTTAAACTTCTGGCCCTAAATTCTATGAAAATTCTTCAAAACTTATTCTTAAAAAGGCCATGCTTTAACTTCTTTTATCTCTCCAAGGAATATTCCTTAAACCAGACTTTGATGGCTCAATAACATAATATAAAACCATCTTTGTTCTCAATGCAAATTCTTCTAAAATTCACACTTCAGGCTTTGAAGGGCCTTGACAAATAGACCCTGATATTACGCTGTTCTGACACCATTTATGATTGAATCTTTTTATTTAGTTGGTCCTTCGGTTGCCATTTTTACACAGAACTCTTGTTCGCTTTGTTTTTTTTTTGTTCTTCAATAATTTTCCTAAAAAAGCTATGCTTTAAAAAACCTGGTGCTCCTTAAAATAGCCCTTAAAACATCATATCCTGGCTCCATCGGTCCTTCGGTTTTTGGTCTTTTAATCCACGCTTCTTTCCTTCTTTGTCCCTAAAAAAATTCTCAAAGAAGTCATGATTTTGGACCTATTCACAAAATGTTCCTAAAAAATCTTTATCTTCAAGAAATATTTCTCAAAGAACCACGATTCTGACGGACAAAATGGTTTTGGTTTCGTTGGTTTCTGTAAAAAAATAGTAATTAAAAATGCACATTTTTGGATCTGACAGTCCTAGAAAAATCACGTTTATGATAGTCCGCAAAAAATGTACCCTACAAATCTACAAGTATATGTCGCATCGTCCTTGAAAAATATTCTGAAAATCTATGCTTTAAAATATTTTCTTTACATATCCTCGCTTAGAAAGCCGATAGTGCTTAAGCAATAATATATGTACAAAATCCAACTTATTACCCCAATGTTCGCCCTCTTACTTTCACAAATGAACCATAAAATAAAATATTTGATGCCGAAAACGTTTACTCGATATAAAAATTTAAATTGTTATACCTTTTTTTGTGACAGTGATAAAGGCCAAAACAATTTCACTTTTCATTAAATATTTAGAAAACAAAAGTGTCAAATCATTGCTAATGACGGCAAATACGCCTTCAACCTCCAAAAAAAAAGGTTAAAGATAATTTTAGTAAAACAAATCAAAAATTCCGTTTTTCTTTCGTTTTCCATTAACTGTCAAGTTTCCTCGAAATTTTTCTACGATATATGTCGTGTGATATTCTAGACAGCTGTCAGTTATGTTATTTTTGTCTGTCATGGTTTTTAATAAAAATAAAAGCTCCTCCAAGTTTGGATCTTGACGGTACTAGGCAAAGAAAACCATCATTCGCTGAATAATTTAAATTTAACTGACAAACTGTCTGCTAACTTCCATTGCTATTCGAGTCTCAATTGCTTAAAAATAGACAAAGTTAGTTGAAAAGTTTTGTGAAATATCATCGTTCCCTCCCATATGTCCTTAGGGTATATAGTAGAATATATAAAAATTGAGCATTTATTGCCATATTATTTAAGATTATGACTTTTAGATGGTTGTTTGAAATTTAAAGAAGTGTGAGATATGTCTTTACACTTGCTATACAAAGTTTGCGTATATTTATTAAAATATAACACCATTAAATCATGATGGTAATATAAAGATAAAAATGAATTATGTTGGGACTGAAGATATTAAATAGATTTTTTTTTAATTGTCGGGATATTAAGAAGTTATTGATATCAATTTATTTGATAATTAAATTAAATAATTTTAATTATCTATTGCTTTTGATTTAATTAAAACAATTGATTTTGCCATAGCCATAAAACCCATGAAATCATCATAAAACGAAATTAAATAAATGTCTAAAATGCCACAAATCATTAGAAAAGCTCTAAATGAAACAGACTTGGCATTATTGTCATTTTAATGAGCGACACATAAAATTTATTACACCATAAAAATGTTGCATAACTCCTGCAGTATTTTTCTTGTGGATTTTTAATAGAATTTTGCTATGGAATGAGGATTCTTCTGTTCCATTTAATAAAATGCATTTCTAGCAAAAACACAAACATTTTATTACAATTCACACATATACGCACATACACACCCACCTTCTTACAGCCATACAATTTAACACACTTTTTCTGTTGTAGTGGCAATTTCACTTACATGCTTCTGAAGTACTGCCAACGTTGTTCACTTTTTTTACGACTTTTTGTTCTACCGCCCTAAATAGTTCTACTGCAGTACTCCTAAGGGGTGTTCTCTCCAACTGGCAACTCCCTCTTTTGGCATGTCGTTAAGAAATGTTTTCCCTTATTTGAGTTTTCTTTCGTATGCTCTTCAGACATTGTAAAAGCATTTGCACTTAATGAAATTTTACTTTTTAATAAATGTCATTAGACGTCAGCCATCTCAAGTGCAAGTGGGTGGGATTTTCATTTCATTAAATTTGAAGTTTTGTTACTTTTCTCAACACAAGTCAAGTAATAGACAAGAATAAATTATTTGACAAATTTAGGTTAAGTTTTTCTTAAAAATTTAAATAAAAAGATTCCGTAACTTAAATTGTTATTACATATTTATAAAATCAACGATCATGACTCCAATACACCTTCAACAAATATCGAAGTATTGAAGGCGTAGATTTTTTAAAAATATTTTAAATAATTTTCAAAGGCGTAAATTAAAAACCAGTAAGGAAAAGTAAAGTCGGACTGGACCGACTATATGATACTCTTCGCCAAACAAACATTTGGTGCACCATTTATGTAAAATCGGACAAAAATATATATGGGAGCTATATCTAAATCTGAACCGATTTTCACGAAACTTAGCACACATCATTCTGGAGTTGATTCAGTACGCTATGACAAATTTCGTGCAAATCGAAAAATATTTAGGGACTTTGGTGACCATTTATCTTATATCGGAGGAAAATATATATGGGAGATATATCTAAATCTGACCTGATTTTCACGAAATTTAACACACATCGTTCTAGGCTTAATTCAGTACGCAATACCAAATTTCGTGCAAATTGAAAGACTTCGGTACGCCATTTACATAAAATCGGACAAAATATATATGTGAGCTATATCTGAATCTGAACCGACTTGTCCCAATGCATGACTTAGAAAGTAATTCTATGCATATTCTCAAAAGCAACCAAGTGTCTATCTCGTTTCCTTTTGCCTGTTACAAACATATGCACAAAGACATCATACCCTGTACCACAGTGTGTTGAAGGGTATAAAAAATGTTCAAGGACTAAGAGCCTAGATTATTTCATGGACTATCAACGGCATTGATTTTTTAAAAGATTACCAAAGACGTAGATTTTTAAAGGATTAGAAAGGCGTAGATTTTTTGAAAAATATTTTTAAGGATTATCCATTTTTTAAAACTGCTGAAAAAATCTAATATTTATTTTTTATAAAATGTCAAGCTTACGTTTGAATTTTTTTAAAAATGTCCACAAGATATTTTTACAAAATATTTTTTTATAGAACTGAAACTAACTAGATAATCTCTCATAATAAGCCCTTTAAAAATATTGAAAAATCTCTGCAATACCCCTAGAATATCGTGATATAAATCAAAATTAGTTTAGTAAAGGCTTAATATTTTCTCTAATTATATTAAAACCCATTTCCTTAATATCCCCTAACTATGGCTATGGTATCCATTACCCATTTGCATTATTTAAAATAAACCCCTAAACAGATTATTAATGTTTTCCCTTTTCCTATTTTCTTTTTTACTTGCAGAGCGGCCCAAAAACTAGCAGCACAAAGTACATCGGCAAAATCATCACGCACCAGCGATATGTCAAATACTTCCGCACGCAATGGTGGCTTCTGTGGCGCCTTACAAAGGGCGCCACCGCCTATGCCACCCGGTTTAGCGCGACGTTTGGCCAACAAGGAAAATTATGGTATCGGCAAGGTAAGTGCGATTTTATTTTTGCAAAAAAAAAAAACTTAGTAGCTTTTGCATGTCGAAAATCATGAACATTTTGTTGAGGCGGTATATTTCCGGAATCGCCAAACCATTAAAATTTCCCAGAAATTCAAAATGTTTAATGCCATTAAAAACAAATTACCAAAACATGAAATATTAAGCTTAGCTCTTCCAGAAAGGACCATTGCATATCTTTTCAGCATTTTTAATTTTTATCATAACGAGTTTCGTTTTATTTAATGGTGTTTGGTTGCAGGTTAAAGTTATGCTGCGTGTTTCCGATACCCACACAGATCCGGATACACCACACTTTATGACAGTCGATAAGAAAAAGCGTCAAGTTACGCTGACAGATCCAGCAGCGGCCTCCAATTTGGCGGCTTGTTCATCACAGGAACGTGGTCCCATGGTGGCCGCACCCAAAATGTTTGCCTTCGATAATCTTTTTACAGCGGAAGATCAACAGGTGAGTCTGGTCGGGTTGTTGTTGACAAAACCAATTTGTCATGTTGCTACATTTAGCAGCAAACACATATTTTATGGTGTTCTAATGGATATATTTTTTTCTTTCGTGTTATTTTTTCTCCTTCACTCTCTAGTCGGATGTCTGTGCATCTGCTTTGTCTGAAGTAATCCCTGCCGTTTTAGAAGGTTCCGATGGCTGTCTGCTTACCATTGGTTATCCAAATTCCGGTAAGTTGTCGTTTGTTGTGACTACTGCCAACAGCAGTAGCCCTTTCTGTCCGCCAGTCTGTCTGCCTTACAATTTGTATTCATTTCCTGTTCATACACACATACACGAAAATTGCAATAAATTTTATTTTTCTCCCAAGTTCGTGTCTCAGTTCGTTAGACAACTAATCATGTTTATCTAGCAGTATTTTTCATGTTGCCGTCTTCTCTGATTTGAGTTTTCATTTTTCTCTATCTATCTTTTTCATGTTGTGTGGTATCTACAGGTCAGTCCAAGACTATGCTGGGCGGTGTTAATCCACCCACGGAATTGGGTGGCATTCCATGTGCCATTTCATGGCTCTACAAGGGCATTAATGAACGTCGCCAAAAGAGCGGTGCACGATTTTCGGTGCGTGTCAGTGCTTTGGGTGTTAGTGCCACGAAACCGGATTCAACGTCAAAGGATTTATTGGCTGCTCATGCAACGGGTAAGTTTTAATGTAGGATGAGAAGAAGAAATCACAAAAAATGTATTAAGAATGTGTCTTGACATTTTTATTAAAGTGCAAATATGTTGGGGTCAAGAAGGGTTAAAAATGATATGAAATAAATCGAGGGAATCCTTAAACATTGATTGTCACAAACATGTTTTAAAGGGTTATCGAAGGCGTAGATTTTTAAAAATAATTGTTCAAAGGCTAAATATTTTTTTTAGAATTATTAAAGGAGTAGATTTTTCAAAAAACATTTTTAACGGGTTATCAACCTCATAAATTTCGTAAAAATATTTTCGAACGATTATCATAGCCGTAGATTGTTTAAAAATATTTTTTCAAGCAATATTGTAGGGGTAGATTTTTTAAAGCTATTTTTTCAAGGATTATCAAAATAATATTTCGAGTATTTTCAGAGGTATATAGCTTTGGGCAGCCCCAAGAGTTTGTAACGCCGCGAAATATTGGTCCTAGACCAGCCTTTATGTAGGTTTTGTGTGAAAAATTACAAAATTTTTATTCTGGGGCGTATATACTTGCTCCTGAAGGACATGTACCCGAGAAATTGATAGCATACCCAAGAGGAGTTGTTGACCTTTAAATTGATACCAATTATATGGCAGTATTTACTCTGATGTGGGAGGTATACGTAATTAGGTAAAGGTGACTATGTGCATGATATTACTATTACTCCATTAGTGGACGGAAATGAAATTGTACATGAAGTTCCGATAATGGTCAGGGACGACGCCTATAGTTTTCGGTGAAGTTGAGATTTCAGTCAGGGTGTGCAATGAACCGAAAACTTTAATTTTGTCAGATTTTCTAGTCGCTCTAGAGGCAATTATTATATCCAGAACATAACATATTTTACAAGCTGAAGGGAATCTCACCAAATACTTAGAGCGGCTGTATAGATGATGATCGGTCAATATTCCTAGGGTCAAATCAACCAAAACCTAAAGTGACCAATTTTTTATTTTACGGCGTCAAAATTCACTTCATTCAAAATTCACTCAGAATATAGAACCGCAGAAAGTATGTTTTTCATGGTAGTTGTGTAGGGTATCGTACGGTCGGCTCCGTCCGACTATACTGCTCCGCTCACTGTTTAAAATACTTCTTTAAAGCGATAACAAACGCGAAGATTTTTTAAAAATATTTTTTAAAGGTCTATCAAAGGCGTAGATTTTTAAAAAATATTTCTTAAAGGTCTATCAGAGACGTAGATTTTTTAAAGGCCTATCAAAGGCGTAGATTTTATAAAATATTTTTTAAAGTTGATAGACATACAAATACCCCTATGTAAATAAGAAATAAGTTGAATATAATATTTAAAATTCCATATGAACCCATAACCTAAAATCAAAGGTACCAAGAGGAACCCCTTTAGGCAATAGCTAATCCTTTATTAAACCTTCTTTCCGTATATACGTTTTACAGCAATAATCGTTCACTTTCATATTAAACGGTTTTTAAACCAGACATTTTCACATCATTCTATTTAAGTTTTATTATCCGCCATAGACGAACTTCCATTTCCTTTGTTGTGCAAAACTCTTAAAAGAAAATCGTCAATTTAAATAGTGCTTATGGTCGTCGAGCAGATCAAAGTCTCCGGTTGAAGTAGTTATCCTTTTTTCATTTCCATACTTTGAGAAATATTCTTTGACTTTTGCATTCCTTTATAGGGGTATCTAACAAATAATTTTAACCTGCAGCCATCGAAGACGCCGCCTTCCTTTGACTCTTCTTCACTTTGAAAATCCCTACCTACTTTTTAATACCTTCAGCGTTTTAAACATATTATAGAACCATTTAATGGAAACAATACTGCTGAATGACAGTAGAAAATTGTAAAATAAAAGGGAATGAAATGGCAAAGATAATCTAAAACTACTCCCCAAACGTGAATATGTAGACTCACCCCCCTTGGCCCCAATTTAAATGTTTGTTGGCAGTCTTGTTCCCTTTACAACTATTTAGTTATTTGCCCCCCACGCAAGAGGGATGACAACCGCAATATCTTGGGTTCTTTGTTTTTTCATAAGTTTAAGTTATATGGCTCCCCTCTCATGGTGGTGGCGCCCCCAAAGCAACACCATTTGCATTTTATATTACTTTGAAGTGTGTTTGTTTAACGTTTAATTTCACATTGTTTAACTGGCATTTTGCTTTGCCGTTTTTTTCTCTCTCTCCTCTTCTTTACTTTTTGGCTTCTATACACCGTGTCTCTGTGTATGTGTGTGCGTGCTGTATAACTTGGCCCATAAACCAGACTCTGATGACTCTCCGGGGGTTTATTTGCGTGACGATTTTCTGGGTGGCCCAACCGAGTTGCGTGCCCCCACTGCTGAACGTGCTGCCTTGTTCCTAGATGCTGCCCTGGCAGGACGACCACAAGGTGGTCTTGAGCCAGCCATGATATTTACCCTGCATGTCTATCAATACAGTCTATCACGTAAAGGTGGAGGTAAGTAAAAGCAAGCTAGTAAGGACAAAAAATATTACGTTCAAATTGTCCTTAGAGTCAACAACCAGCATCGTTTGCCGGATGAATTCCCACATTATCGTTGGGAATTGTATTTTAATGTCATGCATTTTTATGGAATTTTTTCTTCTTCTATTTCCCTTTCCTCTTCTTCTTCGAATAGTGGCTGGTGGCCGAAGTCGTTTGCATCTTATCGATTTGGGTGGATGTGCAAATCGTACTGGTGGCCTACCCCTCTCCGGTATTGGTAATATTCTGCTGGCCATATTAAGTGGTCAGAGGCATCCGCCCAACAAGGATCACCCACTGACGCCACTGCTGAAAGACTGTCTGGCACCATTGACGTGTCATGTCTCCATAATGGCTCATGTTATGCATACCCAGGTAAGTAGTGTCAAATGGAAAGTCACTGCATAAAAAGGATGGACGTTGGGAGGAGTAGGTCGGCAAGGATAATACGTGATAATGAATTCTTAATCATAATGTATGTGTTGAGCATTTTAATGTCATTCCTAAATGCTAGAGCGACAGGCGAACCGGTTGAACAAACATTCGTTAAGCTGTTATCCTTCCACCCTCACCACGCCCATTTCCTCGCTGTCCTTAGCCATGCAACGGCGACTGACTGATTGATTGTTTAGGGCCTCAGAGTTCAGTAAGCAAATGCATTTATTTTGTTCTTGTCTACTTGCAGTCGCATACGGATGCCTTGACGACCATACAATTGGCTTCACGTATACACCGCATGCGAAGGAGAAAACATCGCTTCCCCCTGGGTGGTGATAAATCAGGTGTGGGCGGCCTCACTTCCGGTCTAAATGGTAAGTTTCGTTGTGCCACTGATTAATTTTCAAATTAAGACGATAAATGTTGACATTAGGCTAACAACAACCAAGAGTGACCCCAACATAGGAACGGCTAAAAACTAAACAAATTTGTTTTCCTTTTTTCTCTTCCTCTCTCTCTATCTCTTTATATTCTCCCCTGAAGGCCATCAATCTACTGGTTCATCGGCGGGTTCTGGTGCTGACCCTTCAAGTTCAGAATTATCAGCAGACACAGTCATTTATATGGGACCAGGTGACGATGCCACCGATGGTGAACATCCTCCTGTCTATTTACCCTCACTGAGTAGCGGTGATAACCGTGGTGTCATGAGCAAAGCTCTCAAGGGCAGTGGTGTTGAGAAACAACAGCCAAGTCCCTCAAAGATACCAGGTTCGGCCAAAAAAGTCATAAGCCAAAAAGCAACACCACAAAGTCCTAGCATGGCTGGACGAACGGGTAGCTTGAAACGTGGCACACACAGTCCCACACGTCAATCGGCGACACAAAACACCAATACCACAGCCACCGCCGCCGCCAACAGCAATGAACAAAACCAATTCTTTTCGCCTGTGCACAGCGTCAAAACGTTGCCCAATTCCACCTCATCACCGAAAATCGTGGCGGGTTCGTTAAGGCATCCTGGTATGACCATGATGTGTTCAAAGGCTTCCAATGTGCCATCACCTAAGGGTTCACCTTTAAGGAGACCTGGTGTGGGTGGAGCTGCCCTTAATACCAACACCGAATCCGGTGAGTGTCCCGGCAGCCCCATGCGCAAAATAACTGAAGAACAATGGATCGATGGTCCGAGAGTGTCACGGGCCAAGGTAGCCGAAGCACGCCATCTCATGCGTGAGGTCAATCACATAAAACAATGTGAAACCTGGATAGATGGCCCCAAGTCCCAGTCCAGTCGTTCTCTTACAGCTGGCAATTTACCCATTGCTCCCTCACAGGCTCAAGGTTATGGCTTCATGGATTCCCACAAAAAGTCGATGATACGGCAGTGGGTTGAATTCCAAACTTCACAAGTCTTCCAAACGGTTTCGGCTGGTTCATCACCAACGCACACCCACCGCGAACAACAGGCCCAACATTTACGCAACATAACCTATCACATGTCTCAACTGAAGCAAAAATCGCTAGACAACACCGAAGATATTTACGCGACCAGCACTCGGCAGCAGACACACCAGACGAATGGTGGCGATCAGCATTCGCTGCACAGCAGCCAATTGGAATTGGTAAATCCTTTGGGTCCTGGTCTAACCAATGCCGTCAGTACTACCAATGCCTCAGCCCCCGCCGAAATCCGTGAAGCTCATCACTATCGACAAAACTCCACTCATTCTCAGCCAGCACCCCAACAACAACAATCCTCATCGCATCCCAATGCCAATATGGAATTTAATAACGAAGAGACTGATTTACACTCCTTACATTCGCACAGTAATGTGGGCTATGGCCTCATAGGGCAACATCATTCCCAGGTGCCGCATCATATACCCACGGCCACTGCATCGGAATCTAATTTACCAATGGATCGACAAAATGATTGTGATGAAGATCAAGATAGTGGTCCATCGGAAGTACCACCAGCATTGCCATTAATCGAGCCATTGGGTTCGCGGGAAATTTCTCATGAAAGTTTACATCGTATTTTGTCAAGGCATGTCTCAAGGGAATCTCTATATCAGCAGCATCATCACCAGCAGCAGCAACATCCCGATCTTAGACGTCATGAGGAACAGCAGCAGCAACAGCATTTGTTGCAAAGGCAGTTGTCGCGACAATCTTCGCATCATTACTCACAACATAGTATGGGTATGTCTGATTGTGGTCTGCAGGTCACCGAGGAGGAAATCGCCCGCACTATGTCGGGAGGGTAAGTAGTCAAGAAGGGGGTTTTTATTATATTTATTTTTTGTGGGTGGGTACGTAATGGAACCTTACTAATTTTTGTTATATATTTTCTTGTTTTGTCCTTGCAGAGATCATCCTTTGGCTGCTTTGAGCCACGTGGAAAATATGTCCATTGTATCGAGTTTCAATATGGCTGGCGATGCGTTCAGTGATTGTGCCATGGGTGAAAGAACGAGGTAAGATATGAGGCAATATCGAGCTCATAGTATGGGGGTGGAAAATTTCTATTGGGTATACATTCGTCATACATATGCCCAAAAAATAAAGTTCGAGGAAGAAAAACCGGTTTTCTAAATTGTTGATCCGGATATTCAGATAATAAAACCGGTTTCAATACCGTATATGTCTATTTAGAACTATTATTTTTATTTTACTTACCTATTTCCCCTATTGTTTCTTCTCCATTTTCCGCAGGAACCAATTTGACCAATTAGCGCGTTTACGTGAGATCTTTACCTCACAGCTAGCCATGGCGGAAGTAACACCGGTCTTTCGTTCTGGTTGTGATGTGGGCAGTGTTTATAGTGAACCAGCATATCGTTTTAATACCGGCCCTGGAAGTGTATGCAGTGAACCGCCCTATAGGCCACCCAGTCCCAGGTAGGTTTAATTTACCTCAAACTCCAAACTAACCCAACCTCCAATCACTTGTCTACCCTACTAACAATATGGACAATGTTTTTTTATATAAGTACCATGTGTTTTTGTCTCTATTCCACAGACAACCATCACGAAGTCCCAGCCAAGGAAGTCTGCCAAGTCTGAATGGTATTATGCAGATAGCTGGTATGGAACAATATGCTTCTCTGCGACATCCTGATGGTGCTTCCGATCCTAATCTGCCGAAAATTGAAAAACCTTTCGTTTTGGAACATGAAGATATCCACGAAGTTGATGAAAAATCCGCCCTATTATCGCCCTCGAAGCGTTCATCCCTGGAGCAGGGTGATGATGAACATGACGATGTGATTTTGACACAATTGAATACTACCCTACCCATTACCACACAATCCCAACTACCTCTATTACCCCTAAATACCTCTTCCGAAGCATATGATAGTGGTCATGACAGCTCAACACCCAGAACCTCAAAACATTCGGGCATCTCACGTCGTGCAGAGAGTGGTTATCACAGTGTGGCCACAGCACGTGACAGTGATGAAAGTAGTTTTACATCGGGTCTCTCCAAGGAACATCACAATCGTATTACCATTACGAAAAAGAAGCGTCAGGATAAAGGTTTGTGTACATGGCTAATGAATCCTTTTACCTGTACTTATCCCGAAACTGAGGGTGAAATTAGTGATTTTTAAAAGTGAAAATAAAATAGAAGTGACATAAAAAACTTTCCTCTGACCACCGAACCAGTTCAAAGAAGATGAAGAAAACAAAAACAAACGGGGCAATTGTAAATGTAAACTAGAGAATCACCCACCAGATGAAAAAACGAGCAACCTATAAAGCATTTATTTCGTTTATATTCAACATAAACGAAACCTTAACTAGTAACTATGTTTGTATGTATGTGTGCATCCCACGTCTCCAAACCATATACAAAGAACAAGAAAAACAAAAAGATGACTAACGAAAAAAATTTCTTAAGAAAATTCGAAATGGCCAAATTTTTTTTAATTTAAAATATAAATCGATAAAAAAAAGAAAAACAGAATTTGATGAAAATATTATGACTGACATTTTTATAAAACAAAAGTAGTTATGAAAACAAAGAAAACGTAAAAAGAAATTAAGAAAACAATTACAAATTTAAATAAAATATTCGATTAGCCTAAAAGCTTGGTTTCTCAAAAACCATTTGTAAGATGTTAGCCGTTGTACTTATAAATTTATATGGCTTATTTGTTTGTGCGTGTGTAACATAATTCAGTTGAAAATCATAATTGTTGTAAATTTGTAGTAAAATAAAGAACGAATTTTTAAGTTGTTTATGCATATATTGATTTTGTCTCATTTGCGCCTGAAAGTATGCTCTGAAATTCATTCATAACAGAAAACATTTACTCACACAACTTTACTTTGACGGTTTCAATTCGCGATCTGATTCACAACTGAACTCACTGCCTCTCCAAACAGGGTGACACAGGCAAAGGCCTGTCTTTTGCGCAATCTATTGATATACACGACCTTCTGTTTGCACAAATTTTTTAAAATTGCGCAAAATGCTTGAAATTTGACAATTCTTTGCCAGGGTTGCCATTTTTTAAAAATATAATTGGAAAATGGAGAAACGTAGTCTGAAGGCATATTTTAAAGTTGTAGGGGTAATAGTGACATTTATTAACTCCAGTGTGTATTAATGGTCTTTTATTAATTTTCAATGGTATGCTACCAGTAAAGGAGGTTTTGTGGAAGATTTAAGTGAACTAAAAAAACTAAAATTTCGAATGAATAGACAGATATGTCAGTTTGTGTTCGGTATTTTGAAGGCTTTAGCAGTATTTTCCGGGGTTATATTTTTTTTATAGAAAATGCTTAAAATAGACCCGTCTTTGTTTAGTTGAAGGACGGTTTATAAGTGAATAAAACATTAAATTTTCAAATGAATTGCTACGCATTCGAAATCATTTTCGAGGGTTACAAAATCTTTGCAGAAAATTTTTAAAAATAGCCACGTCTTTGTTTAGGCGATACTATGGTCCTAGACTCACTCGACGCAGCTGTAATTAGGCATTCCGGTTTCTTGGTGTATAAAAAACGTCTGCGCAGAATATTTTATAAATGATAGGAAAGTAATCCATTCAAGTTAGTTTTTTATATCAAATAAAACAAGTGAAAAAAACGATAAGTTCGTCCGGGCCTTTGGATACCCTCCACCATAGGTATACTAACAGATACTAGCATCGAAAATACTAAAAAGTGGACCTATACCGAAAATTCAATGTACACCAAATACAAATTTCAGTAATTTTTAATGGATATTTTTCCTAAAAACCCCAGAAAGTGGTTCGATATTAACGACGCATCCAAAATACTGCAATTAAAAAATGGACTTATATTTATAATTTTTAGTGGAGATATTTGGTACTCAATAAAAACCCAATGTACCAAATTTCAACGAATTCGGTTAAAAAACGCGCTCAAGAACCCCAAAATACAGAAATTTGGGGGTACCCTTATGTGGGAGCTTCCAGAAAACATGGACTTTTATTTATAATTTTTAGTGGAGACATTTGGTACCCAATAAGAACCCATTGTACCAAATTTCAGCGAATTCGGTTGAAAAACGCGCTCCAGAACCCCAAAATACCGAAATTTGGGTGGTACCCTTATATGGGAGCTAGGCCTAAACGTGGACCGATAAAGCCCATCTTCGAACTTGACCTGCCTGCACACAAAAGACGACTATGCAAAATTTTGGCGATCTATCTCAATTCGTTTAGAAGCTAGAGTGATTACAACAGGCAGGCGAACATGGCTATATCGTCATAGAATTTTATGCTGATCAAGTATATATATTTGGTCCGATTATTTTTGAAAAATGGCAACCCTGGCAAAGAATTGTCAAATTTCAAGCATTTTGCGCAATTTTCAAAAATGTGTGCAAACAGAAGGTCGTGTATATCAATAGATTGCGCAAAAAATATGTCTTTGTCAGTGTTACCCTGTTTTTGTAAATGTTTTGTGCTATGAATGAACTTCAGAGCATACTTTCAGGCGCAAATGAGAAACTTCATTAGGAAATTAAGTTGTGTTTTTATTTGAAATATTTTTACTAATTTCAAAGATTTTAAATATTTTTAACAGTTTTATTTTATAAATAAATGTAATTTACAATTAATAGGATTTTATTTTTACAATAGCATGAGAGTAGGACTTATTTTTAGGTGATAAAGGATAATAAAAGAATTTATATGACATATCACGGATATCTTTAAAAAATATTGATTTTAAATAGGAGGTGTTGATATTTTTTCCATAAAAAATTTTTGAAAGCGTTCACAGCGTTGAGCGTTCAGCAGCATCAGTTATTCCAAAATCTGTTTGTTTCCAGTTGAAGGTGTCTAAAGGCGGAAGTTAGTTTCATATTGTTCTAAAATGAGAAATAAGCAAAATATTAATTAAGTTCAGAGAATGATTATGATTACTTTCAATATATGTATGTACAGAAGAAGGGCAAATTGTCGATCTAAAATAAACCACATATTATGGGACAAACTTACTTTTTTCAGGAAAATTCATATTGATATAAATATAATGCATCATTCTTAATCCCATTCATTTAAAATATAAAAAATCAGTTTAATTTTGTTTGAACATTTATATTCATATAATTATGCATCACTATTAATCAATTTTATTTAATATATACAAAATCAATTTTAAGAAATATTTATTGAATGAGATAGTGTCAGAGTATTGGTTCAAGGGTTAAGTCCCATTGCGATCATTGAGCTATGGGTTTCAATTATTAATTTTAATAATACATTGAAAATTTTCCTTCTAGGCCGTTGGAATATTGCGAATATCGGGATATATTACGAATCTACATTTCCTTACCTACATAAAAATTATACGTTTTAATTAAAAAATTCTCCAATATGATTTTCAGCTGACTTTTCGTTACACACGCAAATATAAAATTACGGCTTATAATATGAAGCTTTGATGTATTTAAAGCTTATAGCTTTTTGCTCAAGCTCCAAAAATATATATTCCAGCTGATATAGAAAATAAAGAGAGAAGTCCTTCCAAATTGATTTCAATAGTGCAAATTCAGTTGCTAAGCTTCTCTTATTCTTTTTATAAATTTAATTGAAAAAAATCTAAAAAGCTTATCTTATGTTCTTAACAACAAAAAAGCCTTAATCTAAATGAAAAACAAAAAAATTAACGAAAAATCTGCAATTTGTCTCACTGTTATAAAAAAGGAAATAACTACAAAAACAATCAATCAATCTCTTTGTGAGAAAGCCAAAGAGAAAGCTTTACATAATTACTTAAAATAATAATGATTATTATTTAGTTGTTTAGTTAATGTTATTACCATGATTATTATGTTAAGCTCTATGTTCAGTTTATTGTTATATTGATATGTGTTAGCAAAGCATATAAAAAAAGCAAAAAAGGAAAAAGGAACATGGTTTGATGGGGAAGGCATACAGTGGGTTAAAAATTCTCAATATAATAAAAATAATTCTTTAAAAAAATATCGATAGATTCTTGCAAATCAGAAATTGTCCATGAATACCTCTAATTTCTATATTTTTTCTTGATTTTCCCCACTGTATATCTTTACCGTACAAGCCTGTCTCTAAGTTATCAACTATTAGAATAAGTTCTGACACAAAAATATATAATTACTTATTATTACTATTATAAAAAAATGATACACACACACCTACAACAACAACCTAAAAAATAAATAAAATCTAAAATTTTGTTGCCAGTTTTGCCTATTTAAACTATGTTAACAATTTATTAATGAACAAAAAAAGCAAATTAAAAAAAACTTATATGACATAATATAAATTAGCAAATATGCAATATACATATATGAAAAAACAACTACTAAGTAAAATTTAATATATAAACATATTATAATAAATAAAATTTATTAAAAAACCAATGTATGTATTTATACCAAAAACGAAAACTATAAATTTAATCAACATTATAAAAACAAAAATAATTACCGATGGTAAATGGACCGAATAGTTTAACAAATAACTTGTAAAATCAGCTAAACTAATTTTAATATTAATTATTAAATTTATATTTTAGCTCTGCAATGTTTTTCTTATTTTCACAAAACAAAAAATTGGTTTAAATATTTTTCGATATAATTTTTTAATTAATTTTAATTTTTTTTTCTCTAAAATTTACTGTTTTATTTTATATTATTAAAGCCTATCCTTATATATAAAATATCAACATAAATGGGAGATCTTTATATAAATATAAATGTGTAAATATATATAAAAAAATAAAACATATTATTAAATAATATAATATTATTATAAATAAAATAAAAAATAATAATTATTATAGTCTATATTCAAAAGAAAAAAATAACAAACAAGAAATAATGAATAAATAAAAAAACACAACCAACCAACAAATTTTATATAAACTAATCATAAACCCTGGTGTTTTTTTCTCTTTGTTTTAATATGCACATAACCATAAAGGTAAGTGTAATGGGCCAACACATCATGCCGCATGATTTGGGCTGATATTATTGCATGGCTAAAGTCAGTATAAATTCGCTCTTCTTTAATGGCAACAAAAAGTCGTATTTTCACTGTTCCTTTTGATAACTTCCTCTTCATGTTAACGACTTTGTCGTGGCTTCTGTGTGAAATGCCTTTAAATGTCGCCACATACTGTGATTTTTATATGGCGGATTCTTT